CTTTCGTTTGTAAATAAATTTATATTTAGCGACCGAGAGATGTATGTTTATTTAAATATATAGATTGATAAACGGATAGTTAGTTAAATAGATTCTAATGGTGTACATGATACCGATTATGTCTGATTATTTATCGATACACATGGATCAAAGTATCTGTATTGTTTGCGTAATTGTGTGGGTGGTAACTTATGTACTTTCATAGGTTTGGCGTTTCTAAATTGTCTACCAGTTCCTTCAACAAGGTGCTTGACAGCCCTTTATATATCGAGACCATTATGCTTGGTAGAATGCTCAGTAAGAAAATTAACGTTCTGTTAAAATCCCAGAACACCAGTTTACGAACAAAGCTAAAATCCCTTAAAGCCCAAAATTTAAAGCTGCGTAATAATTTGTGGACCATTTGTTAGGTTCTTCTATCCTTCCCTTAACCTGAAATCAGCCATCTGACATTTTTATCTAACGTGATTTACGATATAGTGCACACCATTTTTTACGTAGTGGTGGATTGCAGTGATCCAATTCGGTGGCCTGCGAGGGAATGTTCCATGTTCAAAAAAGGACTGAAGTACTGTATGTTCGTGGACAGCAAACAAGCCGAGTGTTAGTATTGGTCGCAAAATGCATATTCTGTAGCATCAACTGGTGGTAGATTTGTGTGTTTAAGGACACATGGGTAACACTTTCTCATCACCTCAAATAATTCTTGAGGTTGAGCGCATACGACCCAAGGAGATTCACACGATACTGGAATGATTATGGACACTGAAGGACTCAACCAAATAGGAGTGGTTGCTCTGCACATCCACACATAAAATTTATTATCTTATTACCATCTTATTACCAGTATTCGACTAAAGTATCGTTTTTACTGTTTTGTCGTTGGTACTCTTGAGTACCTCTTTTTCAACTGCATGTGTTAGTACTTTTGGTCCTAGCAATCTACAGCTCTTCACTTTTGGTCATTGATAATTTTTTTTGTTTCTGAGTATCATCACAGTTTAAAAAAGAACCCCTATTGAATGACCGGACAGTGTAAAAAAAAAAGTAGTTGTCAACGTCCGGGTTGTCGTTATCCTGTTGAAAGCGGCATGCAGTGCGACGAGTGCAAAGGCTGGTACAACGAAGTTTGCACGAACTTAACGCCTGCTGCTTTCAAACGGTACAGTAAGAAGGGTTGTGTGTGGCTTTGTCAACAGTGCTGCTCGGATGCAAATAGCTTGCTAACCGAGGCCATCTCACTGGTTGATGCTGCAAAGAAGTGCTTTAGCAAGCATAGTCGGAACGCGTCAAACAGCACTCGATCTGTCGACACGCAAATCAACGTGAAGGAAACTAAGGTTAGTCCGGTGATAGATGACTCACGCCCATCAAAGAAGGAAAAGCAATCTCCAAAGAGGCTTGCCTTAAACAAAAGCTCAAGAAAAGTAGGGTCTTCTGTTCCCCATCTCCCAGATGGGATCCAACAGGAAACACCTAGAAGCCGCAATCGCAAGGCTCGATCGGTTCCAAACAGTAAACATAACACGACCCCTCAGGTCGTCGACAACCCCCCAAAACCCAACACTAGATTTGACGCAACTGTTATTGCTTCCACCACCACCGTTGATGAATGGGTAAAAGTTGTGAGGAAGAAAAGTAGGGATATAGAAGGGAAACTTGCCCCCGTAAAAGTGGTCGAAAAATCGAAAGCTGATCATAGCGACAGATCAGCTATTTTTCATAGAATCAAGGAGAGCGATAGCTCTGAACTTAAAGCTCGTTTTGAGAATGACATTGTACTGATTAGGCAGCTGCTTAATCAACTCATGCCTCAAAATATGACCGGGGTCACCTTGCTAAAATTGTACAGACTAGGGAGTCTAATGGACTCGAAACCAAATCATTCCAGACTGCTTAAAGTAGTATTCAAATCTTCGAACGAACGTGACCTAATTTTACAAAATGGGCACAAATTAAAGGGTTCAGGAGTCGTTATCTGAAAGGACCTATCGTTGGCAGACCGTGTTAAAAGACGGGAAGCCGAGAAAGAACTACAACATAGGTTAGACGCTGGCGAAAAGGACCTGAAAATTGTAAATTTTCGGGTTGTAAGTCTTCGACAGAGAATGATGCCGAAGCCACTCTGGGTGAAACACGAAGGCACTTAAAAAGGCTTCGGATCTGTTACACCAACGCACGAAGCTTACTTAATAAGCGATCGGAACTATGTGTACAGATTGACTCTACAAAGCCAGATATAATCGCAGTAACAGAAACCTGGCTGACACAGGCTATAGATAGTATAGAACTTGATTTCGAGGGCTTTACGTCAGTAATTGCTGACAGAATACAAAAGCGTAAAGTAGAGAGAGTAGCTCTATTCATTAAGAATGCTATCCCACTCACCATTATCGACAGTGTATCCCATGAGAGTGGGGCGTGTGAATTAGTTATTTGCACTTGAAATGCGAGAGACAAAAGCTGCTGATTGGTTTGATTTATCGCAGTCCGAGCTGTAAGCTAAATGAGACCCTGCTAAGCAATTTCAATACTTGATCACAAAGTGGTCGATGTCTAATCCTAGGGGACTTTAACGCACCTATGGTAGACTAGGTAAATCTGCGAACTAAATAGTCGGAGAATTCTTCCGAGCAGGAACTAGTTGATGGGATTATCACATGTGCTCTAGTACAACATGTGAAAGAAGCGACAAGGTACGATCCGGACACTGAATCATCCTTATTAGATCTTATACTGACTCACTATGAGGATGATGTTGCGAACCTCCAACATACGCCACCCTTAGGTAAAAGTGACCACGCAGTTTTTACTTTCGACTTCCATATAACTGTCAGTCATGAAGACGCGTCAGTCCAGTCCAGACCCAACGTCTGGAAAGCAAACATACCAGACATCATGCACTCAGCATCGTTAATAGATTGGACAATAGACACAGAGTCCTCCATTGAAACGGCCTGGGACGCATTTCGAAATTCATACTTAAAAGTTACCACACCTCACATCCCTTGGACTTTACCAAAGGGGCCGAAAAACTCACTACCATGGTTCAGTAGGGAGGTCCGTATCCTTTTCCGTAAGAAAAGGAAAAATGTGGGATAGATTTAGGATACTGGGGACTGATGAGGCAAAATCTCAGTATCGAAAGGCTCGGAACACTTGTGCCTCGACCCTCCGTAAGTCTAGAAAATTGTACGAAGAAAAACTTGTTAAGGAGTCCATAGAATGTCCTAAACGCTTGTATTCCTATATAAACCAAAGGACAAGGAGAAAAGGAAATATTCCTGCTCTATGGGGAGACAGTACTGCTTCATCATTAGTGGAGGACGACTTTGGTAAGGCTCAAGCGTTCTCGAACTACTTTAGCAACGTGTATACCATAGAACCGCCCTTCTCGTCAGCGTATACAGATCCCCCCATACATACACTGGATAGCGTGACCATTAAAAAACTCGATGTCTTTGGTCTGCTAAATAAGCTTGATATAGGTAAATCCACGGGGCCCGATGAATTACATCCTAGGCTACTAAAAGAATTATCTAACTTCGTTGCAAGCCCTTGAAGTACATGCTTTAACCTATCCGTTACGCAGGGTCGCTTACCGAAAGATTGGAAAAACGCCATAGTAAGTCCTATCTTCAAAACAGGTACGAAACACAAACCTGAGAACTACCGCCCCGTTAGCCTAACTAGTGTGGTTGTTAAAATATTAGAAAAGATTATTAGGGAGGAGCTGTTTAAGTATCTCGATAAAAACCGGATCCTCTCGGAGAAGCAGCACGGCTTCAGAATAGGTTATTCTTGTCTCACTAACTTATTAGTCGCTCGTGAAAGCTGGTGCGCTCTTAAGGACCAAACGTTACCCGTATACGTAGCCCTCATTGATTTCAGCAAAGCTTTTGACAAGGTTCCGCACAACCGGCTGTTATATAAGTTAAGAAAAGTCGGGATTGGAGGCAATTTATTGATGTGGATAAAAGACTTCTTAGTTGGGCGTCAACAAAGAGTTCGGGTGAACTCAAGGTTATCTAGCTGGGAAACTGTGCTTAGTGGAGTGCCCCAGGGTACAGTTTTGGGGCCAGTGCTATTCCTCTTGTATGTAAATGACCTTCCTTGTCTCCTATCATCATCGGTCTTGCTATATGCTGACGATGTCAAGATATGGAAAGCGATACGATGTAAGAGTGATAGCTTAGAACTTCAAAATGACCTGAAGAAGTTATCTGAATGGTCTCAAACATGGCAGTTGCCGATAAATCCTTCCAAGTGTGTTGTGATGCATATCGGTCATCAGGGCACAGATTTATACACGATGGATAACACTGAGCTACCTGTCGTCCAGACATATAATGACTTAGGCGTTATCGTTAGCCAAGACTTAAAGACTACTGCACACTGCCGTGCAATAGCCGCCAAACGTTTTAGATCGTTATGGTCAATACGTAGGGCTTTTAGTCATGTCGACGCTAAGACGTTTTTGACTTTGTATACAGTGTTCGTTCGTCCTAAACTTGAGTACTGCATACAAGTGGAATTCACTACCTCAGCAAGTGGTTGAGGCTCCATCCGTCAACTCCTTCAAAAGAAAGTTGGATCAACTGAGAGACTACCATTGCCAGGACTAACATAGACCATCGAGCCTCCTGTCCTTCCCAAACTGAAACAATAATTTGATGAATTTCGTCTAAGAATAAACATAAATCTAAAACACAAAAATAGTTCCTGTAACTTTGTGTTTCGGAGGTTTTGTGAGAATACCGAAAGGATTTAGTTATTATTTCTTGAAGAAAAAAGTGATTGTCTACTCTTCACCAAAATTTATTTGTAATTTGTAGGGTTACGCCAAATAATTATGAATTGCCAGACTAGTGGTTACCAAAACAAAGCTTATGAGTTTTTGGCTTCATAAATCTATTTAGTTGATGATGCTTTGAATGGGGTTTTATAGTATCAAGTTATTTAATCATTGTCCTTGTGATGTTTTTAACAAGCACTTTATTGTACTCTATATAGGGGCTCGCAGATCGAACATTCTTCAAGGTTACCCGTCAAACATTTGTTGCTTCCCGGAATCTGAAGGATGGTGACTTGAATATCATCTTTAGCTAAATAATATTGTAGTCTTATTCTAAATTGTCGCGGAATACTGTATGATTTTTGTACTATGGATCGATTTGTTCGCAAGATAAATAGCAGCCCTAAGTCTAAACGGAAAACACTCGTACAATCTGAAGACAACTTTGGTGTTCCATTAAAGGTCCTGCTTGATAGAGATTCTACGAAACCGGTGCCTCGAATAGTAAAAAACATTTGTGATTATTTGCTTCACTATGGGCTCAATTCACAAGGAATTTTTCGTATCAATGGGAGTGCTAAGTTGATTGACGGGTTCAAAACTACATTTCAGATATCGGCAGCCGACGATCTATATTCTTTGGGAAATGTTGATATTTATGCTTTAGCGGGTGTTTTAAAGCTATTTCTTCGCGAACTACCTGATGGACTTGTTCCGGAAAAACTTGGACTTAAATGTATAAAGGTGATATATGTTACTTAACATACCTCACGACCCTAGTACTTTTTATTTGTATCATAGTAAATTGGCTTTGTTTAATCTTACCGGTGAAGCTATCTCACTTATATGTTTAGTCCGACAAACTGTTTGCCATCTAAATTAACTATGAAGATATCGATATATCTTATGACGTTTTAGTTTTTTTCAATCATTTAGTAATTTATGTTTTGACGGCATTTCTTGGTATGACATCATAAATATTCTGGCCACAATATTTTGAAGAGCAGTAATGGAGTCTTGTGTTGTTGCATTTGTTGGCCTATGGAAATACCACACTGTACAACTTAAATATTTTTTAAAAATCTCTTTTCACTTTGTAGCTGTGCTTTACAATTGTCTTACAATAGAGTATTTTACTAACTAGCTGTCATAAATGCACCCTATAGCTTTATATACAGTTTGGGAGGCGGCATAGACTGAAACTACATTAGTTTTAAGTCTTTCATATCACGTATGAAATATTTGACTGTATACTGTGTTCATTCAAAGGATGAAGGTCATCAGTCTGAATAAAGACATCTTCATGTTTCTCAGGTAGGCTAATTCGTGGTCTACAATATTGAATGTGTTAATACAATTTATCATCAATATCGATATAACGTATAAAACCATTTAAAAATCATTCATATATATTCAAACCTTACCAATAACTAAGACAAATTTTGGAAAATTCAAAAGTCACTGAGGGATTATTACTTGTTTCCATTGAAAATTCTACAATTTAAAACCACCATAACAAAATGGCTTATCTCTGGCACTACTCATAGTTCTTTAATTAATGGTGGATTATGAAAAACAGATTTCGTTGAGTGAAGTAACATTACCTTAGATCTACCTTACCACCACATTTTAACTCCGATTTGCAATATTAACTTGTTACGTTGATTTATGGCATCATTCCACGTGGTGGATTAAAAATTCACAGTTTTTTTATTCGATTCCAGTCATTTTTACAGTCATGTCCCTAAATGTTGGACGAATTTAGGTTACTTTTAGTAAAACAAGAGATTGGTCTTTTTATTAGAAATAAAACCCTACCAAATTATAAGAGATAGTCCAAATCCATTGTTTTTTATCAACCTTTATCGTTAACAGGTTGCGAAAGAATATTCAAGTGACTTGAATGTGTACATACTTAAACTACAAACTGTATTATTTACATTGCCGCATGAAAACTATGAACTCTTAAAATATTTGTGTAAGTTTTTGAACAAGATTGCGGAAAACGAACCCGTCAATAAAATGTCGCGCAATAGTTTAGGAATTATTTTTGGTCCTTGTGTGTTTCGTTGCAGTTTGGACTTACAGGCAAGTTTTCATTTTAAATAATACTTCATCATGTGTAGAAACATAGCATTTGTGTTGACGTTTATTCACATATATATAAACATAATTGACGGCTCCTCTCCGTGTATATTGTTAATATTTGTATATGCTGTAGATTTACTAGCATAATCAAACTGTAGCGTACGTACTTAATGAAGATTGGGTGGGATTAATGAACTATTTTGGATGAGTAAACTGTTGTCATTATATTGGTGAAGAAGTGTCTGCCGTTCCAAAGAAACGTATTGTCAAAATCTCTGTTGAGTGGTTGCTAGTCACGCAACTATACAAGAAACGTTAGTGTGTTGTTTGGGACACGATATCTAACGTAAGCTGCAAATTACTCTTTTAGAGACTTGTGAATTATCGCGGTCACTCTCTGTAAACTTTATGGTACTCTGATCTGTGGATTAAAGATAACTGAAATAGACCCTATTTAGTTAAATTCTTTACTAGCTCTTACAAAATGTCTTGATTATGTCTTTAGGGATATCTCAACTTACCGGTAACGTTGATTCGTGAAGCTCATGCCATTCTTAGTAACGGCCCACATATATTTTTTAAAGATCAGAGAATCTTATTTCATAACATAAAGTGCCTGGTAAGTGTGAACGCAAAGAAATAGGTGACAGAAAATAAAAGGGCGATACTACGAAGAAATAAAGTCATAAAAACACAGCCAGCATAAACTTCGTTTAGTTTCAAGGTGCACTATAATTTTCGTAGGAATATATCGGACCACGATAATATGACTGTTACTGGCTGCTACTGTGATTAAGCGCCGATAACACCTCTACCCATTGAGTCGCATAATTTTCAGGACCCTATATGATTTAATAACTCTAAGTCTTGTCGAATAGTTTCAACTTTTTACATATATATATAATAATCGTTTGGAGTTATCTAAACACCACCTGGAAATTAATGTTTGATCAGTCTGAGGGAATTTCCATGTTTCTTTGAATAAAAAATCTCAGTTACTTCTGTGTTAACCACCATCATATATTTTGCACCTATACTGGTGATTAGTTTTAGTTATTTATAAAGTGAGTATTATGACTTGTTAATCTTTTAAAATCGTGACATCTTAAAACCTGTAATGTCTATCTGTTTTTGTTTCATTCAATAAGTATTATTTTATCGAATACAATGTAAGTTGACCTGATAATGGAATTATAATAAAGAATCAATCATTTTTTTATTAGTTTGATTCGTAATATAATGGATATGAACTAATACGTTTATTGTAGATATCGTTTTTACAAACTATTGTTTTCAATTAACTTCAAGGTTCTAAAGAATCAGAGCTTGACAAATTACATAATGACTTCACTAATCCAATACCATGATGCTATATTTGTTCATCACCCTAAAACTGACTTTTTCGTATTGGACCATCTGTTCAAACTACCGGAAATTGTCTCTAACTCAGCTTTACCGATCCTTGAAGATCGTGTTCAGCCATCAAGTGAAATATCAACGAGTTCCAGTCAAAATGATAGTCCAGGAATTATTAACAGCCTGCAGGAAGACACATTCTCAAATTTTGTGGAAACTCTGTCCATGGCTCCTAGAAATACACCTAAACCTGAACCAGACAACCATGTGTGGATGCCACATCACTGTTCTTCTAGTGAGCCGAAGATTCCTCGAACAAATCCTTGTCACAGTACACCAGATTCGACGTGTGGTTTTACAGTTGACAATAATCTCTCTAGTGACAGTTCTCCATTTCACAACATTGTGTCGTCTCACCGATACAAAGAATTCCTTATTAGTTCATCAACTTCACCCACACCCAGCCCAATCACTTTCGAAGTTTCTAGTACCCCAACCTTTGTGAGTAGAAGCAATTCAATTTCCTATAATGAAGAAGAAAATGCTGAACAAGTTCCAGACTCAGGTGTAGAAGCGCCTTACACAAAGTAAGCCGTTGGAAATTAAATTGTGGTTCGGAATTTTTTGAGGTTTTTACCAATTTACTTGGTTTACTATGATTCCAGTAATATCTTATGTGTTTTATGATCATAATACTCATTAATTTTTATGGTTCGTATCTTTTTATTCAGGACATCGGAACAACTGGCCTTGGATATCACAAATATTATTTCGTCCATGGCTACATCCCGTTCTTTAGAGGCACTGAGCTTCGAAACACAACTTGATGATTGTTTTGCTAATTCAACTCAGATATCAAATTGTAATAAGAAGCACAACCATGTTGAAGAGAACCCAAGAGAAAAGTTACGTATTTCTGGTATGTTATCAAGATCGTCAAACAAAGTTTCAACAGGTGATAGTTTGTTCAACAAAGTGATTCGTTTTACTCACGTCACTGATGATCCCAATAAAATTAAAAGAACTTTTAGCCATCGGAAACATACAATCAAAGAATCAAGTGTCCATCCAATCAGTACTTGGAATTCCATGCCTTCTGTGAAAAATAAAACGATACAAACTCCGCCTAAGTTTATGGACTCTTGTGTGGCAGTTTATGGTCAAGATCTTTGTAGTCAGTCCCCACAACATAATAACGTTATATCAAATACTTTGAAATATAATGGATATCGGTTTCCGAATACTGACAATACTTACCGACCTATAAATTTGCAAAAGGATGATTTTAATGCAGCTAGAGTACAAGATACAGCAAATTCAACACATACGTCTACTTTTATGCCAGTTAGCACAAATCAGTTTTACATGGAAATGCCGGCTGCTAACAATGAGTTTGCCAATTCGGTTGGTAGTACTCAGCCATCTCCAACTGTAGAGAATATTTTGACTCAGGCGATAAACCAATGTTCTGATACTCATATTTTTTCCCTCTCTGTGAAGCAGGTTAGTTTATTAATGTTTAAATATGTAACTATGAATATCCCGCTCTACATAGATGAAAGCAATGTTCTGTATCTGATACTTTCACTTCAGTGTTATCTATATTTGAATTTGGATCAAGAGTGTTTTCTCAATGTGTAACTACTATGTAACGTTACTTAAATATTGTCAAAGTTAGTAGATTGTATTGATTGCCAAAGAAATCACCTAAAATTAGTATTTTGGGGGTTATAGTTGAACAGAATAGTGGAATTAAGCAATTACATCATGTATTTTAAACACTACTGTGAATCTAAATGGAATTTTATTTCACTCATTTTCAGGCAACCTGGAAGAAATTATCATACTTTCGTCTTCAAATATCTGAATGGAGTATTACTTCTTAATTTTTACCAAATATCTCAGTATTAGTGTTTGTTTTTATTGACTAACTAATGGTCATATAAACGTACTATATAAATCCTCTCTTTTTTCAAACACATAGTTCCCTTTATTATTTTAAAGAGAGCAAGAGCAAAGGTTGGTGCAGAATAATATGAATTCATTTTATTTCGTTAGGTTCTCATCAGCTGCTTACAACCTAAAATATTTGAAATTTAACGTTATTATAAGTATTGACATACTTGTACATCAGAGGACGATGAGAGATGAATATATGTAACATGATGTAGCAAAAATTTCGTTAGAGTTATTGAGGTCATAAAATTTTGTTTCGAATATATAGAGTTTGGGAGGTAAGGTTCCAGAACATTGAAATAGTGATTAGAAATCATGGAATTAAAACACATTAAATTATTATGCAATGAAGTAACTGAAAATAGATTAATGTTAATAAAGAGAGATATGAATTGAAATTGGTCAATTATGAATGATGTAATTATAAAATTCAGAAAGAGTTGGAATGAGGTAATAAATAAAAGGGGGGGGTAATATTACCAGGTCAAAGGAAGATTTATTACTGTTTCTTTTTGTATACAAAGATCTGGTTTTAAACGTTTGATTGCTATTGCTTCGGCAAATTTCAAAAGGTTTGAATTTGATTGTTTGTTGATCACCTTGAAGGACTTCAATATATCGACTTCGTGTCTTGTGTCAATGAGATGTTTTGCGATAGCGCTGCTAAACGCATTTTTGTTTGTGTTTTGGTTTTTTGTCGGTATTAAATCTGGTATTCTCATTTTGTACCTTCTACGTACTTTACGTTGCCTTAAGTATATTATTCACCATGATCAGTTTGTAATACATCTTGCGGTGTTTATAGTTGTCCAACAGTAGTCCATCCCATCCATAGGCCTTCTGTTTTAATGATGCATTTTTGAAACATTCTCGTTAGCACATACAGTCATAATATGGATTTATTATCCGTTCTCTTCTTCTTTTCAAACTAGTCATACCTGGTTGTTATACGATAGTGCTATTGATAGTGCTTTATCACTAATTATACCAACAGAATTAATAGTCATACTTGGGTTCCATCGTTATTTGGGTAAGGGCTAGGAACTGTTGGCCGTCAGTTTTGAACACTAATGACGGCATGAATGTTATGAAAATTGCGAATAGATAATCACAATATTCATACTAGGGAGTTGGAGGTCGTCAGGAGAAAGCAAGGTTTTTATTCAATAATCAATTATTGTACAGTACTCATAGTGACTTTTTTTCATCCAAAATTAACTAACTATCCGAAATATTCTCCTTCTAGTATTTATATACCACTAATCTATATGTTTAACTGATAAATTAGTGCAAAATTATATTTTTCACAATAGCTCGACTTTTCCGTTTTACCATCATACTCTTGTTTTTTCTTTATATGCCTTCTAGAAATTAGATTGTCCCAGCGACTCCAGCAGCTTTCCTTATTCAATAAATGAAATGGATCTTACAGCTTCTACGAAAAGAAATTCAGTCTCAAGTTTTGTTAAGCCGATATCAACTTTATCGTATCAATCAGAAATACCAGTTTGTGTATTTGACCGTTCTCATCCTAACCATAATCATGTAGGTGGTTCTAATTGTGAAATTGAAAATAATCAAAATAAGTCTTTCGAATTAGCAACTCTTCAATATGATGCTACCCATCAACCAAAGAAATACAATCATAGTACACCAACTAGTCCGATATTATCTAGTCATACCGCTTCAATTACTCTTAGATCAAAGTCAAATTCTGTTGGTGCAGTAACCGTCAAACCAATTCATTCCTTTATTCATAAACCTAAAGATCGTGGATCATGCCCTCCTAATTTACTGCCTCTTTCTTCGAAGGCAAACAATGAACACTTAAACGAATCTGCTCCAAACTTCGGGAGGCTTTCTGTAAGCTGTAAAATATTTTAGTAACTTACAGATAAAAATTTCGTAACTGTTGATTATGCGTATTATCAGGATTGGGATTTGAGGAGACTGTAGTATTTAAACAATTGAATTTACGAGTCGATCTAAGCTAGACCACCATTAGAAAGCTGGAGGCTCTTAATGACCGTTCCGTCATAGTATGAAACTCCTCATCAGTACGTATCAACGATCTCCCTAGTGAGAAGTGACCAGTAGAGTCCAATACGTGTCGCGTGTGGGACAGTTATCCACCTCAGACGAGGAGGATTGCGTAAGATCATGGATCGATTGAAGTTAGACATTAACACCGTTGGATACCGGCTCAGTGGTCTAGAGGTTAAGCATTCGCGCTCGATACCGAATGTCCTGGGTTCGGGTCCTACGCGAGGGATCGTAGATGTGCACTGTTGAGTATTCTCATACTAGGATGGAATGGCCGTCCAGTGCTTCTAGGTTTTCAATAGTGGTCGACTCGTGTATTCAACTGTGATTACGTATGTATCTCCTAAGTCTTGAATAATACTTACGACACCGTTGATTATTTAATCTATCTATCTATAGTACTACCAATAGTCTTTTTTATTGCCTAATGTAAAAGAGTTTACGAAGAATACAACTGTGTGACTTACAGTATTATATCCTAAATTATGGACACAAATATTGTAGTATTCTCAATTTTATGTCTTTTCTGAGGATCATGTATCTAGCAGACCATCAAATTAAGAATAATGACGAATAACCGCATTTAAAATTTCTGTCTGTATTTTCTGTAGTACAAAATTACATCAGTGTTCGATGATACGTTATTTCCTAAGATATTTTCATAATGTAGTCGTAATAGAGATAGCACCAACCACTAAGTGATTGTCTGTTGGTTTTTATCGTGTAAAAAATTATTCTTGTTGACAGACATTTGATGCTAGATAGTATGACCGAGAGCCTGTATCTCTGAGCTAAAACTGTTCACTTCCATTTAATTCGAAATCTTTGGTATATTATTATAAACTGAAATAATGCTTATTTTTATGTACTCCTTTTCCAGTTCATTTGTGTTTCCTCACTGTTGTTGGAAAGTTACAAAAATTACATGTGTATGTATGTATGTATGTATTAGGTAAATGTTTCCCATTTTGCATTAAAAAATTGTATATTTAGTTTGATCATGTGATAGCCTGTTTGTAACAGATATCGTCCAAGACTCGTCCAAACACCACTACTCTCTGATTCATAAAACAGCTTTCAAGAAGTGGTGGGTGGTCAAGTTGTAATTTGTACGCATAAAAGTGAAGAAAGAGACTGTTTGGTATTTGAAGTCTTGAAATATTACATCTTATTTTCTGAATGATGTGCACAGGTTTTCTCATAACATTCTCAGTTGACTAAATATACATGCAACTTTATTTTATCAAGTCTATTCACGTAATTATATCCTTTCAATTTTATGATAGATTTTTACAATCATTTACTTATTAGATTATCCTAATAACTATGAGAATGTGAAAGATAAAAGTGTAGATAAATCACAGTTTTTAATCAATGACTTGTGACATTTCTGTCATTAATCGAAATTCTATGTTTAGACACAGCTTTGCATAAACAAGAAAACATTGCACCATATTTCACTCATCCTCATTTATTCTTTTTAACAAAATGTAGTCTTGTTTTCTTTTTAAAAAAAAAACTTATTTGTGATTCTTTAGTCTCCTGAAAGAAATCAAATGATTACAAAGAAGAGGATAAAACAACAGTATTCAATCTTTGATCGATCCCCAATATCAAATCAAAATAGGGAAAATACCAGATCCTATGGAGCTCAGTTAAATAAATCAAATCATTTTTTAAGATCAGCAAAATATCCTAGTTCCATCTTTGATAGTACACAAAATTTCAAAAAGACCTTGGATGCAATAGGATTAAAAAGTTTGTTAAATTTACCAAATAAAACCTACAGCGAACCGAATTTATTGTATTTCAAAAACCAATTGTCACGAAGGACAAAACTGAAATACATATCGTTACAGCATTTAACCACGGTAAGTTATGTTCGATCTGATATTTTCATTACTAAGTTATTACAAAGTGACTGAATTTTTCCTTGATCTCACTTAGCTTACACTATTGATATTAAAGTCAGTAAATATTCAGACCCTATCTTTGTTTTCGATAAAAACCCAATAACTTAACAAGAATAAATTTTATTTCCCATATAACTATGAATATAAATGTACAGCTTAAGTAAATGATTTCGTCTACAAGAAAATTCCACTGAATTCTCTTTATTCTTATTCAAGGAACAAATTTTATCAAAGACTCATTTTAAAGCACTTTAACATAAATATCTGTTTAAATAACGTATTCACTTTTCTACATAATATCAACATCACAAATCCTTTTGTCGTTAACAGACTTGGTTCGCTTGGTGAATTCTGTTAGAAGTTACAGTGTTTTAACGCAAATAATGAGGAGGGTTACTGAACATCGACCCACTATTCTCTCCATGGTGAAATAATTAGGGTTATTTAACCTGTAGGTATCTAATCACATAATTATCGTTTCCGTTGAAGTTAAAATTCAGGATATCTGTGGCTCATTGAAAATTATAATTTATATATATATATATATATATATTATAGTTGAATTCATGAGTTAATTGAAGCTTACATTTGCATTAAAATCCGGGGCGGGAAACAGACGGCTATAATTACAACTCCGAAAAGTTTGGATGTTGATGTCTGCCACATTTCAGGGAAATTTAGTTGCAATTCAAGTGAAAAATAGAGGTTTTACACCTGTTGATTAAAGATTTACGTTTCACGCTAATTGGTTGAGTACAACCCAACGACCAAATGCACGTTCGTCCTCGGCCTTCAGTATATATATATATATATATATATATATATATATATATATATATATATATATATATATATATATATATATATATATACTGAAGGCCGAGGACGAACGGATTTTAATGCAAATGTAAGCTTCAATTAACTCATGAATTCAACTATAAAATAACTAAAAAGCCCCACGAAACCCTTTCTGATAAAAACGTAAAATTGCCAAATTTAAAGGTTTTTTCTATTTGGATTTTTTGGAACGCAACTGTCTAGTGGCTTAATTTATAATTAAAAAAGGAATAGCTAAATAAAATTATGATGAATAGAGAAGTAAAAAATCAGCGTTACTAAGGATAACTTTTCAAAATATTTTATGTAAAACTACCAAGGTATACTGGTTGAAACAGTTAATTGACTTAAAGTCTGAAAACTTTCATCTAATCTACAATGTCTGAAGAAATTGATGTTTATATTGCAGCCATAGGCAATGGCTAGAGATAATTAAATCAGTATTCGTTTGTTAAAAATCTTTGAACCTATGTTCATCATTCTTTCATCATCGCAACTCTGATATGTGGATGTCATATACATTCACTAGTCCACGTATCAAAACTTATCATTTCTTTTTTGTAAAGAACACCTTGTAGATTTAGTGAATAGAACTTTCATATATGAAGCTATTAATGATTATCTAAAGCAAAAAGATAACGAAACTTAGTTATCTATGGTTTTATCATGATATTTAAAGATAATGCTTATTACTGTTTAGGTTTATCCGGGTTTTTTTATTTATTAAATATGTCATAATATCAGTTAACTTCTGTGGTTTTATACTTCTAGTATTCATTGTTCGTATGGCTTTTTTTTTGAAAAGTTTATACAAGATGATGCCAAACAATAAACACATGTAAATAAATATAATGACTAGTATCATATATAATTCCTTATTAGCATATAAATTATCTTTCAAATGTATATACGATAAGAATGTTTATTCAGCTGTTTACAATTTGCTTGCATAGAAATATTAAATTGTTTTCATACAAAAATCTTATCTTGTTTCTTGATATTCTATTTTGTTTCCATTACTTTTGGTTTATATATTGTAGGATGAATTATCAAGCATAAAAGCATTACCCACATTCAAATTGATTAATAAAGAAAATTTAACTACTATTCCAGTAAAAATATCGAAGAATTTATTATTTTCTAATAAAGAAGCACCAAATATGAACTTAATTTCACCTTCAGTTATTTCAGTTATAAGGCGAGTAAATTCATTTTCATCAAATAGTCATACATCTTCAGGAAAATATCATTCTTTCTTAAGAAAATATTCATCACCTTTATTGAAAGATTTAAGAAATTTTTATGAAAATTCTGAAAATCATAATGTTGGTGATAAAGATGATAATGCTGGTGATGTATCATTAGAGCAATCAAATTCACCATTGATATCTATTGAGTCATTCTATGAACTTTTGTGCGCTGCATTATCTAAACAACGTGAATATTGTAATCGTCCTGAACGACTGAGTGAAATGAACTGGGACCAAGTAAGTCATATGATAAATAATGGAATTATATGCGCTCGTTGAATTCGGTATATTGGATGTGTTCGACATGTTTCTTCTATCATTTCGAGTGTTTTTTAAATAATCGTTTGACAGAAGTATTTAATTAAATAATTTCTATTCTTCGCGTCACGGACCGACTTTATTCAAACAACTGATGAAAAGCAGGAAGTACTGGACAGTTGTTTCACCCTAGTACGGAACTCCTCATCAGTGAGCATCCAATATCCTACCGGGGAAGAACCTCAAGACTTTCAAGATTTATAATATAGTGAACCTTTAAACCACTGGATCGGCATCCAGCGGTTAATGTAGCTAACTTCAATAATTTAACGATATTGTACAACAATATTCCAACCGTTTGGGGATAGGTAGATTGAATCACTTGATAATAATATCTTTCCAAATATTATTTTGTGAAACAACTTTTCCAGAAGAATAACAACAGATCTAAATAATTTATTCTAACCATTGTTAACATAACATTTTCTAGTTCTTCAGTTGATTAATCAAATCACAAATACTGATAAAAGCCAGAAAACAGAACGAATTACCTATCGCATTTGTTTTTGTTCAGATCAACTTGATCAACGAAACCAATTTTATAAGGTTTTTACGAACTATCTGTTTTAATGTCGATGCCGTTTACAGTTAGTGTTAAAAAGCTTTTTATCAGAATGGGTTTTGTGGAGATTTTAGAAATTTCACAGATTGAAATCATGAGTCAGTTGAAGCTAGACCACCGTTGAAAACCTGGAAGCACTGGACGGCCGTTTCGTCCTAGTATGGGACTCCTCAGCAGTGCGCATCCACGACCCATTCTGATAATAATAATCACCTGCTCACTAGTGACTGACTTCAGGAGACACTTCTGGAGTTCTAGTGAGAAGTCGTTACCAGTGGAGTTCAACCAGGTCTGTTGTGAGATAGGAACTCACTGAGGACAATGGTGTACGGTAGCGCAACTTCGTGGATTGGTTGAAGTTAGACATTAACACCGTTGGATACCGGCTCAATGGTTAAAAAGCTTTTGTTAGAACAAGATTCAAACCATAAGTTGAACTTAGACTCCCTAATTTTTAAAAATTAAGAGAATACTAAAGTTCTTCACGTTTTTCACTATTTTAGTCAGTTGAATTAATACTAATTGATATGTTTTACAACTGATTTACATTAGGCCAAATTATATACAATCAATATCACTTGAAATTTCACCCTATTCTTTATAATGACTTCATCTTTAATATATAAATACCAACCAGTCTTAATAATTATCATTTTAAACATGTTTTTTTCCTCTTCTTGCTTTGTATTTCGTTTCAAACTAAACTTCGTTGATTACGGTATGTAAAACTTTTTACTAACAATATCGCCAATGTAACTTTATGCCCTTTTTTTTCAACTATTGAAAAGCCTTGAAATATCACGAATTTGTATTGTTCTGTAAATCATACTCTTCCTGTTGGTTTTCTGTGTTAACTAATGTCTGAGTGATATAATGATTAATCGGTTTTATTTCATTTTGGTGTAAACTTTGAGAGTTTATTTTTTTAGTTTAGTTTACTGTTCTTACTATTCATATAATGAGTTTTACCAGTATTTTTTATTTTGTTAGGATTAATTTGGTTATACTTTTAAAATATAAACGTGATTTCTAAGAGCACTTTTATTTATTTGTATTTAACATGATTGCTAACAAAACTACTACATTTTGTTGCCTAACATGGTATTGAAAATATGTTCACCTGTTAAAAACTGCTTTCTCTTTTGAATATTTCAGATTGAACGAGAGAAATATGATATTCAAAAAAGTCTCTTATATTTTGAAGGTCTTTATGGACGACCGAAATCTCCTACATCGAAACGAATTATGAAACCTATATATGAGCGTTATCGTCAGGTTAAACGTCTTATTTCTTCTCGATATGGTGTTTGTAGTGAATTCCCATTTGGAATGAATTTGTCTCGTTTAAAAGTGCCCATTAACGATTCCATAGTTAGTGTTAATGAACAATCTCCAGATAAACAACCAAATGTAACGGTTTCAAATAAGTTAATGGAATTTCTAAACACTCCAACAATCGCATCTCCGACCTGTTTACAAGATAATATTCATAATATAGGTTATGATTCTGACTCAAGTACATTTGAAAATGTGTATAAGAATAAAGAATCTAGCTTCCCAGTTAAAGTTAAGCAAAGAAATTATAATTTACAATCCACAGAAAATCGTAATCTTGTAACAATTGAAAACAATCAAAATCCAAGTTTCCCATTTAATTCCAACCATAGAAAATCACTTATGAGACCGGATGACCACAACATTCAGTTGTAAGATGTTTTATTCTTGTTTACTTGTAGATTTATATTATATAACAATTTTCACCATTTTTTTTTACTTTTTATTGTCAATCAATAATAGTCAAATGCTGAGAACAAATGAAGAACATTAGATACTTATTTTCTCTTATGCTGTTTTTTATTAACAGTTAGGCCTTATCGTGGACGTATTCACTTTTATACACAACATTCCAATTTCGAATTGTTAGAGGTATATATTTTTAAAGCTTTTATTATAAGTTGTATCTTTTTGGATCAGTCTGGTGTTTTTCTTAAGCGAAAATATCACGTTAAAAGATGAGTTAATAGTTCTAGTGGAACATATGGATCTCGTAATTTTGTTCAACAGCTCAAAAATCATTTCCCCGATGTATGGTCCTATGGTTCTATATTTGGTTCCAAAAAACTGAAGATTATCGGGGGAAATTGTAACAGTTAGTTACAACTCTCCCATTCTATAAGTCATTTTACTGATGTTATTTTGTTGTTCTTTTAGCGCTACATAATTTTACCACTCTTTAGCTGATAGAAGAGACTATATTTAAAAGCAGATCATTTTACATTTGTAATTAATTGTTTTGCTGACATATTTTAGTCTTCACTAACTTTATTCGTTGTTTAAATTCACGCTTGTATCTATCATTCATAAATATATAACAAAACTTTTTGAGGGTAATACATACTGTCTTAACACATAGTTATAGTCATAACGTTGCTTGCATTGCTGGACAATAACCCGATCTGGGTTCGAACACACTCGGGGGAATTATTTACAGATTAACATTCAGAAATAGTTGGTTATCGAATTAAAGTACATTGAAAAATAAATCAGCTCAATGATTACAAATAAACTGAATTCAAAAATTTTTTTTATCAATATTTGCTAGTTAACATGTACCACTGAATGTAATGTAGCAACAGGACACAACACTTTGTCCTGATAATCAGAGCTGACCCCTCTTAGTACTAATAGTAGTTTGAAAAGCATTTTCAACACGTGGTTCGCCGAGTTACAAACAGGAAATATAATAAATTGTCTATATTCATTGCTATTATTTATTGTCGAATTTATGTATATTTAGCTTTATCAGTAAACCAATTGATAATATATCGCATAATGGTGGTGCAATTAATAACCATTATCATCACTATTAATACGGACATATCTATTTGAATGAATATTGATCTATTGAACAGTTAAGCTATTTGAGCTAATCTATTCTTGACACATTAGATTAGAATAAGTTTTGTAATTTTCAGTGTTCTTTTTAATTTTTAATTTAACTAATGACATTTGATACTGAATGGCTCGAATAAACTTTATATGTCCGTTTTCTTCATTAGTGTATCCCATGAATTTTTTCACATTTGTTTCACAGAGAGAGATAGTGACCTTAGATTTAAACTGTACAATTTTTTTAAATCTTATCGGGATTATATCTTAATTAGTTAAGTGCTATTTAGTTGTAAAGAGAAGAGAGTGAATGCAAACACCGACGATCGTGAAATTCGCGAACTATTCAATACAAAGGAAAGAAAATGTAACACTAAACTGAACGAAAAAAGTACATTTTCCTCTTTTGTTACTGCTAAGATGAAACACAAACCACCATATTAATTAAGTCTACCAGTACACTTACATCTAATGCTTTTATTCATTTTTTTTCAATAAAAATGTCTTTGAGCATAATGAATCCCACTGTTTGAAATCATGAGTCAATTGAAGCTAGACCACCATGGAGGACCTGAAAGCACTGGACGGCCATTCCGTCCTAGTATGGGACTCCCTATCAGTGCGCACCCCACGAGATTCGAACCCAGGACCTATCAGTTTCGCGCCAGGCGCTTAACCAACTAGACCACTGAACCGGCATCCAGCGGCGTTAATGTCTAACTTCAACCTGGCGCTAGACTGATAAGTTCGGGGCTCGAATCTCGCGGGATCGTGGGTGCCCACTGCTGAGTAGTCCCATACTAGGACAAAATGGCCGTCCACTGCTTCCAGGTTTTCCATGGTGGTCTAGCTTCAAATGACTCATGATTTCAGCTAATGAGATTTCTAAAATCTCCACAAAACCCCTTCTTTAATGAATCTGTTTTAACAGATTCTAATACAATAATATTCGTCATTTAGTCTAAGTACATTAAAGTGGAAAAAACAGTATATCCGAAGAAAATGAGTTTTATTTTAAATTATTGTTCATTATAACAATTTTACTTAAGTTCATAAGTCCTATTGGGTTCTTATTACTGTTGAACTTTTTAAAAATATATTTGGGGGCAAAATAATTATTATTATTATTGTGAGAATTATAACCGTTACATTTAACTAACCAACTAGCAAATATCGAAAATTTACAGTTGACTGACCTCAGATGTATTTAGACCGATGTACTTTTTTCCTATTTTTTTAAAATCTTTTTCCTATGTAGTGCGTGCGTGTGTGCTTTGGTGCTCGAATGGTATATTTTGTTTATTTCAATAAGACCTTAAAAACTATTGTGCGGAAATTTGTTGTTATAGTGTTGAGCGAATGTTCAAATTTCCAAAATCCGTTAAAGTTTATATTTGTTTAGTTTATTTTGTGTGAAGTTGAACTTAGTGTTTTTCCTGCCAAATTTCCTCTTATTTTGTCTCACTTCTAAGATAGTTATCCCTCTACTGCTTGGCTAATGACTTAGTTTACTTTTTATCCTTAATTCTGCCGACACTAAACATATTTATACAGACAGTAGTTATATATCTTTATTATCCTTATTCTAGTGGGATCAATATCTTATTGCAGAGTTTTTCTGGTATGCATTATGGACGAGGGTGTTTTTTTGTTCTTCATTTACAGTAGGAGTATCCAAATATGTCCACTAAATAAGCGAACTGTATTGCTTACTTGAGTGCTTGTTATCTCTATTAGTTATAGGACCATTAATATTATTATTGTATAGAGTTTTGTTTTAATCCTGTTTAAGTTATTGAAATATAAACACTAAAATATTAGTAACGTTGCACCCGTCATTTTTGATCAAATAAAAAATATTACTATGAGATTTTAAACTTTTTTGTCAATAAACTGTTTGTAGGCTTGCAGTGTTCTTCATACAAAAAAAACTGCACAATGTTAGATATCATGGTTAATGAATGAAAGAAATGATGCTAAACTCTAATAACGTTAATGAAATACATAAAAATGTCAAATGTAACCGAATAGTATTATTTATTGTATAACTTTATGCGCTACCAAACTAATTATCATTCATTTTAAATTAATCAAAAAAGAGTTGGAAATAATCATTCATGCACGCAAATAATAAAACAAATAATAGATTACCTGTATAGGGCTGTAAAATTGTGTATAAAACTAATTCATTTATCAGTTATGTGCTTACTTCCTAAACCTTAAACAGAAAATGGATTTACCGTTTACACAATGTATAATCTAAATTGAGTATGATCTGATACTCACTGACTATTACATCTAAAGTGTCAGTGTTTTGATTGCATTTGAATAAGTTTGCATCGCAAAATGTAATCAGTCTTTCAGAATTAATTAAATTTTCTCAATGCAAACCGGTTATACTGGTTTCAGTGATATGAAGGTCAAGTCAACAGGGTCTTGAGAATCCACATTCTCAACCTTAATATATGTATACATAAGACGATTCTTGTGTCACTTACTGTAGAATGGAGCTTGGATACAAACCATCCTTCTCAATGATCTGTCTTATTATCATCGTATGGCTTTTTAATCTCGTATGACTTTCTTAGCTCTGTTTTCATTTTGTGTTTATGTTTTCTTCATTCATTTTCACTACGTCATCCGACGGTGCAATTCAATATTGTTTATATCTGATTATATATTAAAACTACCTCTCATGTCACTTATTCATTATCACTTACTTGAATTTCGTTTCGGATCAAAAACTGAATTTTATTTGCAGTAAATTCCGAACTGTCATTTTTCATATTTTTTTCCTTGTTTACAAATAAGTTCAACTTGGAGGCGAAATTGGTAATTCCTCTCATGCAACCTTTAAAACTTTTGATATGTATAATAAAGATTTTTGGAAATCTTGACTTGCTCTGTGCGTATATTAATAAATGTCAACCATAGGATACTTCGTTCAATCTAGTTTTATGTACTATATATGTTTTTGTTTTTATCAACTTTCTATGAACAGTTGTTTTATGTATCATCTATTTACAGGTATCGTAAACAACTATGCTCCTTATCTCCTATGGAATTATATAATGAAAAGAAAAATGTCTTATTAAAGAAGCATATTGTTCAAACTGAATTAGTCGAATATGAGAATAGTATCAAACGTGTATTAGGTATGATTTATAAATTACTATTATCTTCAATCATTTATATATTTACAAGTATTACTAAACATTATGTTATATGATGTTAATTGTTGTTCATTTAAATGATTAAAGTCGAACAAACCTTGAGTCTCAAACAAGTTTGTATCAAGCATTCTAAAAGTTTTGAGGTAATGATGATTATTATATTGTTTCTATGAAAACTTGTATGACTAACTTGAAATTAAATTAAAATACTTTTCTGGGTGTTGCTTTTGTTTGCTTGATCATATTCATCAATCTGTTTTGTAAAACCTCTGTCATTTTCAGACTGAAAAAGAAAATAAGGGTGAGTTTGAACAAATGTCGATACTTGGTAATAATTATCTAACCACTAATAACTAGCTTTCGGATGAATATTCCTTAGTCCCAATAAAAAGCTGTGTTCCAAGGAATCATATAAGTAGGGGGAGTAAGTCAACAAGTATGAAAGTATGTCATCTGTTTGTATTGTTTGTTTCGTAATATCTTGATAATGATAGTATTAATGATAACAATAGTAATAATAATAGAAACATCTTGGCAATTTGAGCTTTCAGCTATCAGTTATGGGCTCATATTTTCAAACCGCTTATTTCTTTCTATTTAGCTAGGGTGTCTAAGTACTATCCAAATAGCTCATTTCACTGCAGAATATATTGTTAAGTTTCTCGGGGCTTTTTTTTGTTTAATTTCCTAGATTTATTTTGGATATTACTAAATAAACGGAGTGGTACCTAAAACAATAAACGTTTATCATTATTAGAAACGTAATTCATAATATCTAAAGGGAAAAACATTAAAAGTATTACGCAAATCGGCGATCATTTAAACTAATACTAAAGATCTAAACCTCAGATCATTAATGTTGAGGTAGTAAAATTCTCAGTTAAACCATTAAGTTGACACAAACATTAATTATCAGCTTTCCAATGCGATTGTTAGCCTTCGCCTGGCTTCTTGATTTGCATTGCCTATATGATTTTTTTAATATCAATATTACTGTTTTAAAATGAAAATTACAGAGTTGTAGGACTTTTCATGTAAGCAATATTTATCACTTGATGTATCTACTATCAGTTTGTTTTCTATGGATATCCTACAAAAGTACACGTATATCCTTAGTGTATTATTATTATTCGTCAATTGTTTAGATCTATAAAATATATAATTTCTCATTAAATTTTGTTTTGTATCTAACAATCTAATGAATGATGGTCTATAATAATTAATTAATTAATTAATATTTGTACAGGAAATGAAAAATGTCTATTTATAATGGTGAACATAGATGGATACAAATTGCATGTGGATAAATGAACAATATTATAAGGGAAAGTAATTAAAAGAAAAGAAGAACAATAGGAAAGAAAAAAAGTGATTTATTATGCATAAAAAATTGTATTTGTCATGATACTACCTAGCGATAGTAAAAATAGTCACATCAATAATAATAATAAGCGTAATGCTTAAAGTCAATTGAGTGAAAATATTCTATTCTATTCAGTTTGATATCTTATACAAACTCTCTTCTATTATTATTATTATTAGCGTGACATATTGTTTATAAAACAGGATGGTTTCTAATTGTTATTACTGACTGATGATAACATTTTGCATGTTTATTTGTATACGAAGATAAACTTAAAATTATCATGTATTTTTGTAGCTTTGAACAACTAGTTGACAAGCAATAAAATGGGATATGCTTTAAGAGTATAATTCTATTAAGACATTAGCATCAATGTATATTTAGTTAGTAAGTATTTAGTTTGTTCATAGTAATACCTGAATAATGTTTAATGATTCAGATAAGTTGGTCTATACCCATATTTCTTCTAGATTCTCCTTTCTATATTCTTGTCTATTTGTTTTTCTCGGGGATTTTTTCTTTCGTATTTCAATATTTTTATCATTTTCCCCTTTAATTTACTTCTTCTTAATTCTTCATTATTAATTTTGTATTTAATAAATAACCAAAAATTTCAAGCCAATTTACTACTGTTACTAATATTCCATATTTCCTAATATTTTAATTGATAAAATAATGATAATTATTACTGTTTTGTAAACAAGTTTACTCTTTTATTTTGTTGGCAGAATTCATGTATAATTAGATGTTTATTTTCTCTACTTATTTATGTAAATTCAATTCTTATTTTATTATAATTCTATTTCTACACGTATTATACTCCCCCACCCTATAACATTGTATTACTGCGAAAGCAGAGGTTGTAATGTAAATACCTACTTTAAATATTGTTAACATTGATTGGATTACTTATTCAGTATACAGTAAACCGGAGAACCATGTACCTATTTATATTCGATAAATTTGATGTTTTATTATATTTGACCTAATTATTTTACATATTACGTAATTTCCGATTTGTAATCACAATATTCTCTCTCTCTTACCCCATGTTGACCATATTTATTCTGATAATGTATCTCACAATTTCATTTCCCTTATAAACTGATTCAAGTTAACAATTCATATTAGTCAGCCCCAACATTAACAATTTTATTTTATATAACAAACAATTCCTGATTCACATATTACAATTTCGAAATGATGTATTTTGCCTTAAATCTGGCCAATTTTATGGATTATTAATCTGGATTTATAATTGTAGAACCTGATGCGGAATTATTGAAAAGAATATTCTTCATTCATAAAATTGTGTTTTTTTTTATATTTCCTTGAAAAAGCTTGAAACAGATTACCAGGCAGAACGTTGGATTTACTTCAAAATTCATTCGCTTAGATGTTACAAATACATTTTTCCTCTTTAATGACAGAGGTTGTATACTTTCATTTACTAGTAAGAATATCAATCATTTTAAACATCTAAATTAAACATAGAAATATCATCTTTTATTAACATTAGAAACAGTAAAAGTTCCAACATTTTTAAAAAAAAATTATCTAAATCTGTCAATTAAAGTAATTATAATTAGTTAACAGCTAATTCATTAAAAAAAAACATTATTATTATTATTATTATTATTATTATTATTATTATTATTATTATTATTATTTGTGTATACTTTTGAACAGTTGACCAGTTACATGTTTATGCAATCTCATCACATGGGCAGTTACATTAATTGTTTGTTATTCTTTTTTTTGTTATACAACAATTTCGATACAAAAAAACAGAACTATCAATCAATGTATAATATTTTACCATAAATTAATAATATTTTTATTTACTATACCATAATAATACATATGTGTATCTAACATTTTACTTATATATAGAAAAGATATTTTCTGAAAAACAAACTAATAAACAATTAAAATTGTATTGTTTCTAGGACACACTTTGTAATAATTTGTATTTAAAAGTTGTCCAATAAATTTATAGGTTACTCAGCACACCTGTCTCTCTCTCGCTTGATACATGTAATCATTGTTTTCAAATGCTTATATTCATTTAAAGCTATTTATATCTTTTCTTATTATACCAAGTTACATAAATTGCTACTTATATAAATTCTAAATGAATAGAAACCACATTAAATTATAATTAATTTAAAACAATATAAGTTACATTAATTTTGTTTTTTGTATGTATATACAAAAGGTGTTTATAGAGAGTGTATTGAAAGTGTCTATATACTCTAACTGAAATATTATCATGATTATTTTTCAAGTAAGATATCATGTACATTTTAATGCATAACATACATTTTAGTCTAGTTGTTGTGTAGGTATAACATGGATATGATTTCTTTTTTTTTTCAAGAATGTGCACTTGTTCGAACTGATCTCATACATTTATTTATTTATTTTAACACATAGATATTGGTTCAAGGAGGCACCAAATACATATGCGCCACACAAATCAAGTGAGATTTGTGTGAGGGCTGTAATGTTGCCCGGGTGCCCAAACCGAAGCACGTGGTTTTCTTAGGAGGCCACGACCGGAGTTTTCGACCTGAAGGTCTGATCCACAAGGCAGTGGAGCATCGTAAGGAGACGCAGATTCATAGTAGCCGGTGACCAACGATTGGTTTATACGCCATTTGTTCCCTCAGGATACTGGAGCCCATGTGCACCATTGATTTGAAATCAGGGTTTTCCAACTCCCCTAGATGGAATCTCCATGTTCACTAACCCGGACATTCGCTTTTTGTCCTCTCATTTTCGTAAACAACATCCCCGTCACGAGAAGGTAGTGAGTAGAATTTCTCTGGCAGAGGCGTGGCCATGCGAGAGCATTTCGAGAGGGAGAGCAGACTCTCCCCACTCTCGGCCGTACCAGGGCATTTGGGGGCAATCTCATACAATTTTATTCTGTTTATCCCTATCAAATGTTACTGTATTGTTTAGAATATTAACTTATTTGTATAGAATTCCGTTCTATACAAACTTGTGAATTATAATGGTTGTATTGAGACAATCCATATAGGATGCACATATTTCCTCTAAAACTGATCAAAATTCAGTCAAACTATCAACAATGCAATAGCTCAAACAATTACAACATAAATTACTATTTACTCAGTCCTAAATCTAAAAGAAATACATCGGATCATGTAAATAGTGATGTTCAAACTTGAGGATTGTCACTATAAATATAGAAAGTAACCTAGTCTATACAAGATTCTACAGTTAAGTGAAAGAAAGGATGTAGAATTTGCATTAATCCAGTTATCTAATTTTTTCTCTGAATATGCATCAATGGAGGTCTCATATAATTAATTTTGTTTATAAAGCATGAGTCTGAACCATTCCAACTATTCATAATCACTATTGTTGATAATGTAATGTAAGTTAGGCAAAGAGATACTTCACCCCAATTAGTTCTCCGTATTAGTTCTACAATAACATATATGTATACATCACAGTTAAGCATAAAATCATTACCGAATAAGTTGTGGTTAGTCGATTAAAAACCTTTTCCCTAAAAATGTATAAGATCTTTTCAAACGAAAATGAATATAAGTGATTGAAATTTCACAGCTAGAAATCATGAGTCAGTTGAAGCTAGACCACCATTGAAAACCTGGAAGCACTGGACGGCCGTTTCGTCCTAGTATGGGACTCCTCAGCAATGCGCATCCACGACCCCGCACCACCCGGAGCTCGAACCCAGGACCTACTGGCTTCGCGCGCGAGCACTTAACCATTAGACCACTGAACCGGCATCCAACGGTGTTAATGTCTAACTTCAACCAATCCACGAATTGATAAAGTAGAATGAATTCATATTTTTATACTTGCTCTGTGTCAAATCAAATTTAAATAAAAGTGGACAAATCCTTTTTGTTTATACCACAACAACTTATCGATCTCATTTAGAGAATGACTAATCCATTGAATGTATTTATGTTAATTTATTTCATTTACATCGAAAAACAAAAACTTATTTCCATGTCAATACATCTCTCTCTCTATTTCTTTTTTTTGTGTGTGTATCTTTCTAGGTCGTAAACCTAACAAAACTGAACGTAAACCAATACGGGATAAATATGAATTATATGATTTAATTAAACGTCAATTGAAAATTGTTGACTCTTGTCTAATAAATTTATCCTCATCTGATTTAATCAATATAAGAGATGATATAAATACAAATTAATTGAAATAAAAATATCATTGTAAATAAATGAGAAAATTTCTTTATTTTATCACAATGTACATGTATATGGTTTCATTCATTCTATTTTCATGAGTAAATTGTTATGATGAAATAGTACAATTGCATTTTGTTCTTAAAACTAATTTCTATCTAAATTATTAATTCATTTCAGGGGGGGGGAGAGGAAAAGAAATCTATATGTTATTTATGCTTACTTATAAATGTTATTATAATTCAATAAAACAGTTTCATCTTGTGATAAATAAGCATTATGTCGATCACTTTTATAAAGTTTGCTTTATTTCGACATAGATTTATCATATATATTTGTTTTTGTATCGCTTGACAACATCTACTCATACACACTCATGCCTCTAGTATTCTGTGTTTTCATTGTTATTGTCTTTCATTTGTATAATATACATGTTATTAATATTCTAATCATCTTTATTATCACATCGCTTTCGATAAATAGCTCTTACAAAGAGAGTATGTGTGTAATTTTCCACAACATAACGTTACTTTTTCGTTCCTGTGTGATTTGTCTCAATTCTACTTGTTTACATCTCCCTCTCTCCTTCTATTAATACTAAAAGCCATAGTGTACATCTTGGTCGCTTATTTCTCCATATGTTTGATAGGTTCATTCTATCTGTTATTGACTGTGTATAGTAATTACCTATTCATTGATTTGCAACATATTCAATTTCTTCTCTATGTTTTCTGTATAGCTGTAAATCATTCCAATCATTTGGGGAGAGGAATAATTACTTGCCTTTATTGGGAAGACTATGGGGTTTCTGTTTTTTTTTCTCCATTTCAATTTTTTTTGTGAATTGGTCAACAGCTGTTGATCCTCTTTAAATTCTGATGCATTTTTGTTTCACAGTTATTATTTAAAACATACCAAATGTCATTTTTACATGTGTGTAAGTGTGTGTCGAAGTTTTGTTCTTTCCGTTAAATTTTTAGATTCTTATATATCTGACAGTACACATGTATCCCATTTCATTGTATTAAATAGTACATTTATAAAGTTGATAGACAAATTTCTATCTTGCTCGTTGCTACTTGACTTCCTCGTTTTTCTTGTTTCAATATGATAAATAAGCTTCTTTTTTTTCTCTCTCTTCTGCAAAATAATAAACATTTTACAGTTTGTTTTCTTAAATTAATCTACTACAAGAATTCCATATATTGTAAACACGTTCGTTTTATTTGTGCGTGTTTGTGTGTTTAGCAAATAAAATATCATCCGATGATTTATTCAAACTTAATGTGTACTAAAAAGAAAAGATGGGTGAATGATCCCGTGTCATATTGGTTTTTCTTATTGTCTATGTAAACAAGAGTATTTTTGCATAAAAAGTAATTTTATTTATTTGTTATTGTTGCTATTTATATTATTCTACATTCATTTTCTTTGATACATTGCATCCTTCTTAGTAAGAAAAAAAAATGTCAAATTGTAAACAGCATTCTTCTGTACATATTTTTAATTCATTCTACATATTTATCCGGATCATGTTTTTCAAATAATATCACTACCATTTGTAGTAATTTCTTTTTTTGCCGCCTCTTCAGCATTTTTAAAAATTATTTGTGGTTTACCGATAGATAGATAGATATTGGTCGACAATTTGAAGTTCATTTCGTTCTCGCCTATTTTCAAAGCGAATATTTTGTTTTCATTTTTTTTATAAGGTTTATGTACCTACATTTCATTTGTCATAGAATGTAATATATCGTCTTAATTGTTTTGTTTACGATCGTGGGATTAATCAAGTTTTGTCTACAGTTTGGATCGTTAAATGTGTTTATTTCACCGTCAGTATAGTTAGATTAAGCAAAGTCATGTATGGCTATTAAGATAATAAGATCTTGTTGACACTACTAATGCCTTTATGACATTACGTGATTGCTACAAAACTAGTCAATAACTGGTGTTTAAGATAAACGAAGAGTGGTAAATTAGGTCTGTAAATAATAATGAAATAGCTTACAAAGTTATCTAATTCAATATCAGTCGTAATGGTTGGTGCTCCTTTGTTATTTTTTTTATGTGATTAACAAAAAAAACTATGTTTGGTGACTTGTTTTCTTTCTTTTCCCATAAATTTAAGTAATGTGTTGACTTTCATGGAGTAAGCAACCAGGAAGTATTGGTTATCTGCAAACTTGCAAAAGTATTTCTATTCTTACTCTTTATACTGGTTATCTAATACTTATTTACGCTTGTTATCTCCAATCAAGCATAGGCCGCCGACCAGCATTCTCCAACCCACTCTGTCATGGGACTACCTTTCTAGTTACATCCAAATCTTGTTCATTTTTCTCATATCGGTCTCCGTTTCCCGGCGTAATGTGTTCTTTGATCTTCCTCTTCCCCTCCGGCCTTGAGGATTCCATGTGAAGGCTTGCCTTGTGATGCAGTTGGGTGCTTTCTCAATGTATGTCCTATTCACTTCCAGCGCTTCTTCCTGACTTCCTCCTCTGGGATCTGGTTTGTTCTCTCCCACAGTACGTTGTTGCTAATAGTGTCCGGCCAACGGATCTGAAGTATTTTGCGTAGACAACTGTTAATAAACACCTGTATCTTCTGGATGATGGCTTTCGTAGTTCTCCAGGTTTCCGACCCATACAGTAGAACTGTCTTGACATTTGTATTGAAAATTCCGACCTTGGTGTTGGTTGACAGTTGTTTTGAGTTGTAAATATGCTGCTCTTGCTTTTCCGATCCACACCGTCACATCTGCATCAGACCCACCGTGTTCATCAATGATGCTGTCCAGATATGTAGAGGTTTTTACATTTTCCAAATCTTCTCTGTCAAGTGTGATGTGGTTGGTGCATGTTGTGTTGTATCGGAGAATCTTGCTTTTCCATTTGTGTATATTGAGACCTATTGCTGCTGAGGCTGCTGCTACATTGGTTGTCTTCTCCTGCATTTGTTGTTGAGTGTGCGATAGAAGAGCCAGATTGTTTGCAAAGTCTAGGTCGCCCATCTGCATCCTAGCTGTCCACTGTATCCCATGCTTCCCCCAGATGTTGACTTCTTCTTGATCCAGTCAGTCACCAGGAGAAAGAGAAAGGGTGACAGTAAGCAACTTTGCCTGACACCGGTCTTTATTTCGAACGACTTTGTCAACTGTCCTTCATGCACGATTGTGCAGTGTAATCCATCATATGAATTCTGTATGATATTGACTATTTTCTGAGGCACGCCGTAGTATCCAAGAAGCTTCCATAGTGTTGTTCTGTCCATGCTGTCAAATGCTTTTTCGTAGTCAATGAAGTTGATGTAGAGTGATGAATTCCATTTAATTGATTGTTCTCTATATTTCTCTACTGTTACTAACAACATGACACTGCAGAATATCATTTGTAGTACCCGTAAGCAATTTATCATACATATCTTATAGTCTAATTCTTAAGAACACGTTATCAAATCTAAAGGTATTGCTATACAATCCAAACGAGCATTTTGAGACTTAAATATATGTTGGGTTCCCTAAGCAGATACCACATTTATTATTATTTACTTACCACACTTCGTCTAATAGGGCATTTGCCAAGATTCAATATCTGGTTGTTGACACTCAGATATGGTATTAGACCAAGATACAATGATTATTATCAAATCTCAATCTTTGAGAGATGTCCGGCTTATGTAAAGACAATGAGAGGTTGGTGTTTATTTATTTCATTCACAGAGTCCGTTTTTCCTCTGCTTATTGGTATTTTAAGACAAAAGTAAACATTGGCTTAGTGATTGCCGATGTAAACCCAGATGTGGAAACTGAAAAAACGTATCACTACTATTGGATTCTAGAGAAGATTGGTGACAATTCTCTAAAAAATGCGTTCTGCGTTTTTGAAAATGGATTCTCACACTTTTGAGGCGGAATTTTCCATAACACCATTCAGTGCTTTATTTGAGTATGGATGCCTGAAGTATTTTTCCTAATATGGATGAACCAAACATTTGAAAAAACCGAAGTCCAGTTCCCATTTAAATAGCCCTACTGAGATATTTATTGCGCTTTTAAATCTTTAAGAGCCTACTGACGAAGGTTCGTAGATTTCTGAAATGATATCTAAAAGAGTGGGTGCTTGAAGAGTACTTTTGCGTGGTTTCAAACATGTTGATGGACATAATCATTCTGAATATAAATCCGTTAATAATTCATATGTGGATCACTAGTAGTGATGCATTGTCAATGGTAGTGTGTCACGTTAGATAATAACCGAAAAGTATCTCGACTTCTCAATGGCAATGTAGTTTACCTCCTGATATATTAATTCATTTTTCGATGTATTAGACCACCATTGAAAACACCGATCAGTTAATGATCCTAGTTAAAACTCAACAATCTCTCCAACCCTATACTGTTAATTATCAATATAGAAAATTACACTTTACTGACAGTAAAATAGATTTATGAGACATAAATGTAACAGCAAGGTCACGAGAAAGACGAAATTAAAAAAGGTCATACAGCGACAAAGATGACCTAAAAATGTATAGAAAGGGTCAAATTAAGACAGAAAAATTATCAAATACTGGTGGATGACTTATCGAATAGATTATCAGAAACACATATAGACGACAAACTGTTTTGTGAATAGATATATGAATTATTGGAACTCAACTCAGTGATGTAAATGCTACGAAATTCAATAACATTTACTTCGGGATTTAGTTGATTTAATGACAGGCAGTTCTGAGGAATCATAAACTAGGATGAAATAGATGTCTGATGTTCAGTGATGACTCCAATACTGTTAAAGAAACTTTTGTAAAGCCCAGTCTATGTTCGAAAGAATAGTGTGAAATACCAAAAAATAATTGGTTTTAATCTCTCTGAAGATTAGATTCTCATTTAAGTTCTGTCATTATCCTTGAATATTATTGAAGCTGGTGAAACTGGTGAATAAAACGTTTCTTCACATAAAGCTTTCCTTAATTAAGTATTTTTATCAGCACAAATAAGTATGAAAATCAACATTACTTCAATATATTAATATATCCCAATGAGTAAATTTCACCAATGGTTCACAAATAGACAATATAGTGACCTTATCATCACACCTGAGAATCATAATCACATAACTTTTTATGGGTCATATTAGAGGAAGTATGTGCAATTTTTAATGTACTCAGCATATTCAAGTGGAAATAAATGAGTAGTTATTCTTCAGATACTGAAGAATTGCTTATCATCTTTGAATCTTATATTCAAAGATAAAGTTTCCTATTTTATTGTACTTAATTTGTTTATCCGAGCTTCTTTGAATTCTCAAACTTTTCAAATAATATCATATTTTTGAAAAAAAAGCTTCATTTCGTTTGATTAAATTAAATACTTAATGTTGTGTTTTGTGGACTGCAGATTAGATGAGCAGCGTATTATCGATCGGATCAGACGCGTAAAACCGTACGAGCAGCCTAGAGTTCTAATTGGCCCTGCTTCCCTATCTAACCCAGCCAGTTGAGTCCAGAACGCAAGTCTCAGCCTCTGAGATATGAATCATTATATTTCAGACATACTCTGTTTATAAACCAATCAAACAGACCACATCATACCATAAAATAGAAAACAACATTTGTACAGTATTTGACAAGTGAAATAAAAATTGACCAATATGAAATGTCCATTTAAAGTCCAAGGACACCATTAGACTTAACACGATAATTATTGAGATATTTTTCTGAATATTCCAACACTTAACTAAATTAAAATTCCAATGACAAAATAATTGATACATCATTTAATAATAAACCTGTAGTATTTAAACATTCCAAAATGGTTTACCCTGTCAACTCAAATGATAAAAAAAAGATAACCCACGCATATTGAATTCGTTAATTTGAGTAGAGAAATCTGATTTTTTTCAAACTGAAATTGAAATAATTCACTTGATATTGTTTTACTTGAATCTTCCCATTGATGTGCGTATGCCTCGATGTTGCCTTAATTTACAAGCATTATAAGCAAAGGTGGATAGTGGCTAGCAGTGGAATCCAGGACGCGCGTTTCGTCCTATTTGGGGCTCGTCAGCTGGATGTACCTGCATCTAAGAGTTGATGTTCACTCTAGGACTCGAATTCATTACCGTTCGCTACAAACGCCATCGCGTTATCCACTTAGCTACTGAGTCTTGATAGCCACTTGCTTGTCCAATGGGGTGAAGTTTAATTCACTTGATATTGTTTTTACTTGATGTTTTAAGACTGAAGTTGATCAGTCTCTTATTGAAATAGTCACACACAAAATTTTTGAAAAGTAAAAACTGACATAATTATTGATCAGAAATAATTTCTCTCTTCATATATATTTGATTATTAGAAAAATAAAATATTATGCTTAAATGTCCAAAAATCTATATACTTTAAAAAAGAAAAATTCTATTAACTTATTCAAGAAATCACTTTTTTTATTAAAAAAAATTGTCTTCAAAGAAGAAAATCTATAACTTTTATTCATTATAATTTTTCATTCCTTTTTCTGTCTCTAACTCTCTCTCTCTCTACCTCCCTCCCTCTCTCTCTTTCGTTCGTTCTGTTTTTCCTTTTTATTCTCTTGTTGTAACTATATGATAATTTTGTTGTGAAGTATCACGAAATGAATTATTGATTTTCTCTCAAACAAAATTCTTTAAAAATTCATTTAAAAAAATATTTAAATGATTATTATTATTTTTTGTTGTTGTTGAAAATTTAATGAAACAAAAAACAAAGTTTTATTGA